CTTCTTGTGCACCTGGCAGAGCATGGGAAGCTGAAGAGTCCTTGACTAGGGTAAACACTATTTAACAACAGCTAAAACATCAGTGTGTTATCAAGATTATTCTCATACTAAATCCAAAACATGGCACTATACCAGCTAATAGGAAGAAAATTAACTCTATCCCAGCCGAAACCAGGACAAGGTTCTTGCTGAATCCTAGACGATGCCATGCAGCCCCCAAGCTATGGGCTCGCCATGGGAGACTCCTTCCTGCAACAAACCAGAGTATAGTCCTGCCTCCTCAACCAGCAGACCTCAGATATAAAAACACTACTGAAATTCATGTGTGCCATACTTTGCTGCTTACCCTCCCTGGTCTTGAATCAGCACTATTATAACTAGAATTTGTTTGCAGCCCTAATATCGTGGTAATGGAAGGGTATGGACAGTTATTCTTTGTAGACATGCAATTAGGCTAGGTGTCAAGGCAAAAATGAAGCATGCGACAGACTGAATCTGAGCACTAAATCTCCTGCCTCCCCATGAAGAATGGCTCGGCAGTGGCTTGCTGACGTACAACTGCCTTTGCCACCGCCTGCCCAGAGGAAGGTATGCCAAACGCTCATTTTTCACTTATTAAATCACCATCATTAACCATGATGCTGCCTGTTGTACAAACAGCTCAGAAGACAATTCACAGATTACCTGAAGCAGAAACCTCTCTGTGAATCATCTTTTTTTAGGTACTTGTGTGGTGGGCGGCAGGCAGGGCAGTGGTGGCTCTGGGTCACGCAGCAGTGGCACATCTGGCTCACATCTGGGTGCTGATTTGGGGAGCAAGGATGCTGGGCTCTGCAGGGGTGGGTGAGCTGTGAGGGCTGGTGCCGGGCAGGAGGCACCATTTCTCTCTAGCTCTGTGGTCTTAACCTAAACTGAGGATGAACCATTGAGACTAACAATGAAAGTTTTTGATACTTAGCTATAAAAACATGGCTTTGCGAGTAACTCATTGTAATACGTGTGCTGCTGATCCTGGTGGCTTTAAGATAGCATTCATGCACTGCCACCACCGTGCTCTGTTACCTTTATAAATCAGTTGGGGTTAGATTTTAACATCAGTAGCTGTAGGAAAAACTTGGTTCAGGGTTGTTTTTTTTTTTTTTTTTAAATTCAGATGGTAGGCCTACAAAGGGAATGCTTTGTGACAGAGATGGTGATTCCACTTGCCTCCCGGTATACAAATCCCTTTTCTTTGCTTTAAGCCATTAAAACAAACCCTAGTGGGGATAGCTGCGTGAGCTGGAACGGCAAGGATGCAACAGTGACTGCTTGTATTGCTTTCCAAGCAGGGTAGCAATGATGGTGGAAGAGCAGAGATTATGGGGGTGAGGGAGATGAGCAATTTTTAACACCAATTCTAGCTTCTTTGATAAAGATCTGATTCAATTTAAAGTAAACTTGCACTGTGCCTAAATTTATTATCCATGATACTGGACAGAGCTGTGGTATCGTACCGCAAAATGACTAACACGGTCAACATGACCCTGTTAAAATCTACTGAATCTATTAGCTGCTTACTAACTGCAGAGCTTGTGATTCCCCCAGCAGAGTTTTGTGCTGAATATCTAAAAAATCCTATCAGTAATCTGAACATTCAGGCTTTGCTATTGTGAGTCTTCCTAATCCTGTGGATAAGAGAAGCTGATAGCTGGGATGTGTTGTGCTGCCAGGTCATTAGTTGGCTTCTCAGTGAAAGTTTAGACTAGAAACAAGGACCAATTTTTTAATAGTAAGGGTAATTGGTTACTGGAACAAATTACCCAGAGGTGGTAAACTGTCACTTGGAGCCTTTAGAACACGATTTATTACTTGAGAGAGAGAGAGACTAGCTCAAACAGGACGTGTTGAGCTGTAGGGTGGAACTAGTAGGTAAAATTCAGCATGTGGGAGCCTGGACAAAGTGACTGTGGTCAAGGATGATCTTCAGTGTCTTTACGTGCCCTGGAGGGTTCGTGCAGCTGCAAGCTGTACAGCTTTTCGTGTGCTCCAGCGACCAGTGTCCCACTAGCTGCCTCCACTTGGACCTCACGGGAAGTAATTGGTCCCACAGTTAGTGTTTTATGTTTTATTTTACGCAAAAAAAGTCAAGAAACCTCAGATGGGCAAAACTTGCCATCTTTGTCTCCGGGCCAGGACCTTGGTTAGAATTGGCTGTGATGATTTAAGATGTTAATGACAATAGGGTCTCTGTAGCCACAGAGGTGCTGGGCATCCATTGTGTTTGTCCTGTTCTGGCCCGCTGCACCAGCCCTAACGAAGGAGCCAGGTTAGTAGCTATATGTGCTAAATTGTTAAATTACCACAGCTAAATTAGCAGGGTGTTTTATGTTGCAACCTTCAGAAGGAAATTCTGTTAATACTTTTGACGAGCTTCTGTACTAAAATTTCTGAATGCCAACAAGGTGAAAATAAACTGGAGCTGCCTTGCTAAAATCTAATGGGTTTAGATTATACAGCTCTTTCTGTGCTAATATGTGGTGCAGCTTAATAGGAATGGATCAACAGTATGAAATTGGTGCTGCTTAGGCTGTAATGTATGCATTGCATGCTTTTCAGGGCATTTTACATAGGACTGGCTGTGGTCTGGTCTTGTGAAATGAGTGACCATTAGTGGAAGCCATCTCTTGGTTTTCCTCTCATCCGAAAGGCATCTGGTCCTCGTGCACTGGGGCTGTTCTGGGCTGCGAAACCAGGGACAGCAAAGTGGAAGCGATGGGTGGACTCGCTTCAAAAGCATGCTCCTGCTTCGCGTTAAAATGGTAATGTAGGGGCACCCAGGAGGAAGTAAAATGGCACTTCTTGGAATAGCTGAATGTTTGACTTTCTACATAATAGATGAGTATATATCTTAGATCCAAAGATATTCCTGGGGGAAAAAAAAAATGCCTATGTGTACAGGGCGGGTGCCATGGATTCAGTAAAATGGTCACGTTGCAATAGGTAAACTGGTGTGAATGCATCAGAAAGAGCGAGCAGCTGCAATTGCAGGTTTATGTCTCAGAGCAGGCGTTTAGTTCGTGCAGTTGGCAGGTTTCAGGTTTTCAGGTGAATTGCCCGCTGCGAGGACCCCACTGCCCACCTCGGGGTGCAGGCAGCACCCACTGCCACCAGCGCGCTCGGAGCTGCGGCTTGAGACAAAGCGATCGCGTTCAATGCAAGCTGAACGGGGACTTTCTAGCCTAACTGCGTTTTGGTTTCATATCCACCAAGCATGGGAACAGCAAACTGTTCAATAAATAAGTAACATTAATTTTCACTTTATTTAGAGACTTCGGCTTTGATTTTTGAATATGGAGTGAAGAACGGGCCAACGCCGGGTCTGCCGAAGGCTGTGGCATAGTCAGAACGAGCTCCTAGTTTTAATTTCAGTCACTTTTTAGTTGCCTTTTGTGATGGGAATCAAAGTACTTGATCAGGGAGGTGACAAATCTTCAATAATTCATTAAACTATAATGACATTACAACATCATAATTCCGCCCCCCCCCC